TGTACAGAAGTTCCATGCACAAGTTTGACCTAAATCGAATAAGTTTGATATTGCATAGATCCAGGTTTTATCTTAAACTGGGTTCTGCAACTTTTAGACTGGGTTGTGTGCATGGAACTTCTGTATAGTTACAGGTTTAGACTGATTGCTGGTCCCTGAGACCGAGTTTGTAAGTGCATGGTCAGCACCAGGATGAGCTAAGTCTAAATCGGACAGCCATTTTGAACCCAATTTAACCTCCCAAATGTCTGTACTTAGCCTTACTGTTCTTAAACGTTCACATGTGGCATGCATACCAGTTTACTGTCTCTCCTGTTCTCCAGTGTCAGGATTAAGTCTCATTTCGTACCTCACTGTTGTTGAAATCTTGGCCAAGGGGGGGTAGGTGCATAGCAGGTCTTTTTCTCTTTTACAGAATCACAGTTTAATGGCCTGGAGCTTGCCATCTTTCCAGAAAAAGTTTTCAGCATTGTAGTATACTGAGAACAGGCCCGTTTAAGGGAAAGTGAGTGTAATAATTACGAACAAAATGGGTTTAAACACAAACTTGTAATTCCCTGTGGTTCCCCAGCTTTACCTGGGGCAGGTTAGAGTATTAATGTTTCATGTTCTGTCAGAGTTGACAGTAGTTTTATGAAGAGTTTAAATTATGGATTTTTCTAGGATAGTTTGAATAGGAGCGATCCTGCCACAGGCAAGGGATTAAATTAAATCAGGGGTTCTCAATCCCTGGGCCATGGCCCAGTGCCAGTCTGCAGCATGGTAGGCTGCTGGATCGGAAGTGGCCACAGACTGGCAAACTGCGGCACCCCCCCGTAGCCAGGCGGAGAGGCCATGGCTCCTTTTGCAGAGCCCGTGGCAGTGCAGGGTTTGGCTTACCACCCCCGCCTGGAGGGTGTTCTCAGTATACTACAATGCTGAAAACTTTTTATAAATAATTATCGTCTTCAATTTTTTTTAACATTATTGGAAAGCATTTTAATGTTTCCGAAGTCAAACCTTTTCTCTTTTTTTTAGCATGAATCTAGAGAAACATTACTGGGATTCAATATGGTGAATTATCGAGCCTGTAAGAATTTGTGGAAGGCTTGTGTTGAGCATCACACTTTCTTCCGACTGGACAGACCTCTACCCCCTCAGAAGAACTTTTTTGCACATTATTTTACTTTGGGTTCAAAGTTCCGATACTGGTAAGTGCTGGTTCCAATATCTGGAGGGGAGGACGAGGGGTGTCAACAAAGCCTGTGAGATGCATCAGTAAATGTAGGCTTCATTAAAAAATGCCACAATTAAAGTAGTCCTGGGATCTCTCAGTGCTATTTTTATCTGACTTCATTCTCAGGTATATGTCATTTTAATACTTTCACCATCAGAAAATAAATGAAATGGGGAAATAATGATTAATGAGGCTTGAATGTCCTTGCGTATCATATTGTAGCATTATAATGGGGATAACTTGGCGTTAGTAATCTGTGCTGCTTATTAGATGCCATGAACTTGCATCATCCATGCTTATGTCATGAAAGTATTTCTTATCTAGAACATCTTAGAATTTTATTATTGCCAGATCAGGAACTGATACCAGACTGACGTATTTAGATTCAATCCTTTAAGGTGTAGATCTTGGTTGCATACAGAAAAGTGATACTCATCTAGGAAGGTATGAATGAACTCAACATATCTCATCTCAGAACTTCATAATCTATCAGCCAAAGATTTTAAAAACTACTTCAGCCCACCAAGCAGGGTGTGTACTGACATGCAATCTAAGCTAAGAAATACATTAATAACTAGCAACTGCTGTAAGCAGTAGGTCATTGTGAATCTATGTTGAAAATAGTTTAGATGTTAATATTGTCAGAGCGTGAGTGTAGTTATTTCAGTTGTGTATAGGACTGACACCTAACTAATTACATGTTATAATGCTGACATGACAATGATTCACACTTTTTTAAAATTCCCTTTTAACTGAGGGAGTTTTTAAAAATAAAACTATGAAGCATTTAGAATTTTGTTACAGGCAATTGGCAGGCTTTATTTCTGTTAGTCACACAAATGAATCATTCAGGTAAGCTAACAATTGACAGTTAAAGCAAATAAATTAATGACGGGGTGTCAAAGATACAGCCCATGGTGACCTATCATCCAGCCCGCAGTGCTGCTTGTGGGTCTCCGATTGGCGCACTGCATGCAGCATGTGCTGTTCCCAGCCTTACTTACACGCACACAACAGGCAAAGGCAGGCCTGGCATGTGGCACTTGTGTCAGACCAGCCTTGCGCGCTGCATCTGGGGTTGGTGCAGACTGGGCCCATGATCCAGCACTAAAGGCCAGTCTGATGTGGCCATCACATGCAGCATGCACCGCAGACCAGCCCTGTATGCTGTGTGCAGCACAGGATTGGGGCCTGTGCACGTGCTGCACGTGTTGCATGGGGCTGGTCCAGGGTGTGTGCTGCATGTAGTACCTATGTTATACTGGCCTTGCACACTGGATCCAGGGTCAGTCCAGATAAGACTGGTCCTGTATGCTGGATCCAGTCCACAGGGCTAGTCAGGTGCCAGGTGCCACATGCAGCACACACCGCAGACCGGCCCAGAGCACCACATGCCATGTGTGGGGCTGAGACTGCAGCATGCTGCATGCGGTTTGTGAGCCTGGAGCCAGATCACATGCTCAAGGGCACACAGGGCTGGTCCAGGGTGCATGCAGCGCCAGCAGTGGCTGGGCCATGTGTGCTGAATCTACCACATGAGGCCAATCTGTAGGCCCAGTCTGGCTTGCAGACTGGCTGCATGCCTCTCATCCTGCAGGGTCAGATGAGTTTAACAACCTTGAACTAAAGCATGGCAAGTAGTTTACAGTATCAGTCAGAAAGGGATTCTCGTAAAGGGTGCAGATACCTCCTACCGCCGTGTCTTGGAAGAATGGCTTAGTAAGTAGGGGGTTATGGCGCAGGCCTAGAATTTGGGAGGCCTGGGTTCAGCTTCTTAGTTTCATAGTTTCATAGTTTCAGGGTCGGAAGGGACCTAATAGATCTTCTAGCCCGCCCCCCCGCCAGGGCGGGAGAACAACCCAAAAAAAAACAAAAAACCACTCACCCTAAAAACAAAAACGGGACTCAAATGAGTCCAGCCAGGTAAGTATCCAGCCTCTTCTTAAAGATCCCCAGGGTAGGGGCCAGCACCACCGCCCTTGGAAGTTGGTTCCAGCTCCTAGCCGCCCTAACTGTGAAGTAGTTTTTTCGGATGTCCAATCTGTACCTCCTCTCCATCAACTTGTGCCCATTACTCCTTGTTATGCCAGCAGGGGCTAGGGGAAACAGCGTCTCCCCCAAACCCTTCTGGGTCCCCCTAGTGAGTTTATAGACGGTCACCAGGTCCCCCCTCAGCCTTCTCTTGTGGAGGCTGAATAGGTTCAAGTCCCGCAGTCTCTCACTGTAGGGGCTGCCCTGTTGTCCCCGGATCATGCGGGTGGCCCTCCTCTGGACCCTCTCCATGTTGTCCACATCCCTCCTGAAATGGGGCGCACAGAACTGGACACAATACTCCAGCTGCGGCCTGACCAGCGTCGCATAGAGGGGGAGGATCACCTCCCTGGCTCTACTCGAGATGCACCTGTGGATGCACGACAAGGTCCGGTTAGCCCTGCCAACCATGACCTCGCATTGTCAGCCCATGTTCATCTTGGAGTCAATAATGACACCAAGATCCCTTTCCGAGACCAAGATCCCTTTCCGAAAGGGAAAGGGTGGTCTTGACCACGACTTCTTGGGTGACTGTGGGTAGTCGCTTAACCTCTCTGTATCTAATGTAGAAAATGAGGACACTGGTGCTTTCAGTTGCAACAGTAATACTATCATTCCTGTGGCTGATGTGATGATGCCATATTTTTAAGAATGATGAATGGCATTACAGCAGTTAAAATGAAAGCCATTGTATGCAAGACAGATGGTTCCATTTAATTGAGTACCTAAGTCCTGATGTATGTACGATTTCATCTTTGGAAGGGAAAGTGATGATATTACTATTATAATGCTATTATAATACTATTATAGGGTGTTACCCAAACACACAAATATATTGCTGATTCTTTATTTGTGCCATTTTAGAAACAAATTGGTAATAAGTAAGCTAATGATAAGATTTCTTTGCAAGAATATACAGAGCTTCCACTTGGGGGGGAAGCCACTACAGCTGAGATTCACTTAACTGTTTCCCACACTTTCCTTTAATTGAGCATGTTGACAAAGAGGCAGGTAGGCACTGTTGAATAGACGTGGGGAATTAAGGGATGTAAGCCTTAATGTTCCATTCCCCTTTCTGCCACTGAATTGATAGACAGAATAAGGTGAATTATGTAAAAATTGATAACCTTTTTATATCAGCATAATAATTAGAAGCAGATCAACTTTGTAATGTGGTCTGAAGGTTGTATACTGTATTGGAAGCCAATGAATCCTGAGTATTGAACCCAGATCTGGTGCAATTTTGATGTCTGCTTTATTTCCTTTGACTCCGTTCTTCCCTTTTCAAATGGGAGCTGTAATAATTTATTATACAGTTCCCAAAAATGTACTGTACGTTTTATAGAACATAGATACAGTCTGGCTATGTTTGCGTTTTAGTTTTCTAATCATATCATGCTCAGTAGTTTTTACCATGCTATAGGGGAAAGCTAATTTGCCTTTGAGGATATCTCAGTATAGATCCCATTATGGGTACGCATGTGCACAAAATGGAATTTAAAATGCAGCATCCACCTAGGCCAGACACATGTGCCTGTGGGAGGGAATAAAAGATGAGGAACATTCAAACAAAAGGCATAAAGCCCTCTGTGTTGCTTCATTTAAAGTCAGTTTTACTTTTCCTTCTGAACTAATTATTCTAGTGTAGTGAACAGGACCATATTACTTGCTTTGTTAATTGTAAAATTACGTTCTCTATTGTGTTTCTCTGTACACTTAATGTTCAGGGGCAAACAGGAAACCAGTGCATTAATGAGAGAAGTCTGGGAGCAATACTAAAGTTGTGCTCTGAGTTTTAGAAATGGTTGTGGCAGGAAGATTTATATAGTATTAAGATGGAGGTGTGGAACCCTACTTTCATTGCATTAAAAAAAAGAAAAGAAGGAAATATTTGATCCTGTAGATGGAAGAAATATTATTTTAATCTCCGTTACAAATCATGTTCTGAGGCAAAATAAGAGATTTTTGCTTTGAATACTTGGATTGAAATTCTCAACAATTATATTCCACTGAAGTCAGTGAAGTTGTTTGGGCATAATTGAGAGTGGAGTTTAGCTTTTTGTCTAAGGAAGTATAACTTGTCTGTATTTCTTGAGCAGAGGTGTATTTTTAAATTCCTTGTACACTTATTTTTTCAGTGGGAGGACAGAAGTCCAGTCTGTACAGTATGGTAAAGAAAAAGCAAACAAAGACAGGGTATTTGCAAGGTAAGCTATTTTCATTTGTTTGTACAGAATTTAATCATGGTAATTGTGTAATTGCTAAATTACTTCTGATGGTTTTCAGACGCATGAAAGAGCATTTTGGTAAGCCTCCTTCCTGTAGAAATGTGTGTTGGATGACAATTTGGATGCACTGATTTCTTTTTTTGGTTAAAAAAAAAAAACTATTTTAGGAATGCTTTTACCCATATCAGGGGGTCTAGATTAATTCTTGAAATGTTTCTTTTTAAACACGCAAAAGTTAAAGGTAACCTGAAAACACAAAGATAAAGAATGATACTCTTTAGTTTTTTTCCTTTTTGTGTAATTGTAAAGAAGAATTAGACTGTAATTTCTTCAGGATAGGGGCTGTCTTTCTATCTGTACAGTGCCCAGCTCTGTGATCTATAAATACTCAAAATAAATACTTCTCTCCTCTTGCAAGCAGAGTTTCTTCTCTTCAGCCTTTCTCCTGAATGCTTATGAGGTTTTATTAATGATAATGAAATTGTGCAGGTTTTCTTTTGAATATTTTGCCTTGGGTATCAGATTTAGTATGTGTATATCACTAACTTGTTCTTCTGTATACAGTAATTACCTTGTGGAAATATTAATTGTATTTGTCTGCAACTTGTGCTTCCTGCTGGGTACCTCTATGAAACCACAATTCCATAAATGCATTTTTTGAGTGATCTGAATGCTTGATGCTCAGCAACTTAATTTTGTAGGAGCTATTTGCTCTGTTTGTAGATTTTATTTTGTATTTAACATTGGGGTGTTAGTTTATTTTTTTTTTAGTAATTTTCAGAAAGTTCTGAACCAGTGGAAATCTATACACTCCTGTTATACTATGAATTTTCTAGATCTCTATAACTTAGCATTGTTGGCAGGCTGATTTTGGCTCCAGGGAGCACACAGATGTTTCAGAAAATGATGGTTTTTTACTCAGTAGGTGGCACTCTTCCCTTTGAGTCGGTTCGGAGCTAACATCTCGTGTTGCTGGGGTCACTAGCTTGGGAATCCATCTTCTAGGAGAGGCTTAAAGCCAAGATTGTCAAGTCTGGGATCCTTTCAAGTATCCCTAGCATGTGGAATAAGGAGAGAGGTATTTGGCTCTGTCCTAGACGCATTCCATCAGGTTAGGGTTGGAAGGGAAGTCAGGAGGTCACAAGTAGCCCAGCTCCCTGCTCAAAGCAGAACCAGCCCCAACTACATCATCCCAGCCAAAGCTTTGACTAGCTGGGTCTTTAAAACCTCCAAGGATGGAGCTTTCACCGCCTCATATCTTCAAGACCTGAAATACAGTGCCTTTAGGACAGGGGCAAGCAAAATACGTCCCACAGGTTGGATCTGGCCCTCCAGGCAATTTCCTCCAGCCCACGGGCATCCACCAATTAATTGTAACCTGCCCGACCTGCGCCTTGCTCCCACCCTCATGCGCAGAAGGACCCGGTCCAGCCAGCGCACAGTTTCTGGGACTGTGCTGCCACTGCAGCAGCCACCTGGGGACCTGCTCAGCTTCCCCAGTGTCTGGCAGCTCCTCGTCTTCCTGCTGCAGTGCTTGCTCAGGGCAGCAGGTGGGGAAGCAGTGGGGGTGGGGGGAGCTTCGGCAGGGGAGCTGCAGCTGGCTTGGGGCAGGGAGCATGGGGCTGAGACTGGCAAAAGTGCAGAGCCTGTGCCATGGGGTGCATTGGGAGTGTACAGCTTGGGTGGGCAGGGTGTGGGTGTAGGGCAGGGTGGGCAGGCAGGCAGCAGGGAAGGCAGCTGGCTTCCCTCCCATTGTGTGGAGCTTCCCCCAGTGGTGCATGAGTGCCAGGAGATGCACATGTGCTGTAGGGAGCCCCATGTGACAGAGGTGGGCCAGCCTGGCTGCGCTCCTTGCTGCCATGTGCAGCTCTGGCTAGAGCTGTGCACTGCATCCCTTGGGCCTGCTTCTGGCGGCGGAGCCTGTGCGCCATGTGGGGAGTTCCCACATCCCACAATCCCCACACATCCACACTCTACCCCCACAACCATAGGAAGTGCTGATTGCCTCAGTAGTGTAGATAGGCTTCCCCCCCCCCACCCAGCCACAGCCTCTTGTTTATGTTCCTGGGAAAGTCTGTATTCCTGCAGTACTAGATATAGTAATAGTTCTGTTTAGCGTAGATCTCACTTTAAAAAAATGCTTGTTGGAACCATTTCTACATACTGTTGCTTGGTGGATATTTTTGTAGCTTTTTTGTTTTGAAAGCAAGAACACTGGATGGGATTGCTCTAGAATAAGCTGTTTAAAGTGATGGCTTGACAGTTCATAGTTACTGGTCAAGTACACTAAACTGAATGTAGTGCTCATAATGCTATCTTCTTTATGTACAATGAGGCACGTTCAAAAAGGTGGTGGTTTCTATGCCTTGGGAACCTATTTAAAACCACGTCTGGGGCTTGATCCAAGGTTTATCAATGAAAAGATCCCCATTCACTCTGTGGGCTTTTGATGCATCTGGTTTGCTCTTGGTTAGTCTGTTTTGGCAAGTAAGCTGATAAATAGTTTTAGAAGCTTAGAAATATGTAACTTTGTTGTCCAAGAGTGACATTGGGCTGGTGTGCAGAGCGAGCCTGACCCTTGGACCCTCCTCCCAGCATGCATGATCTGATGGCTGCTTCAGCCAGACTGGGACCGAACCTGGAGTGGCCTGACCAGGTGCTGCATATGGTGTAGTCCAGCCACAGCAGCAGCTGCATGCCGTGGCCACCCTGGCTAGATTGAACAGTATGCAGCACCTGCTCCCCACTCCCATGTTTCCAGAACTGTGCTGCACACACTGTCTGCTCCAGCCAGTCCAGGACCTGTGCTGTACATGGTGTCTGCAAGTGTCACATGCAACACATGTCCCAGACCAGCTTGAGTGGGCACCATATGCAGCTCAGCTGCTGCTTCAGCTGAACTGCACTGCACCCAGCAACAAAACTGTTCTGCCCACCCCGGGGTCTGCGCTGCACGCAGCGTGGGTCCCAGATTTCCTCGAGCACCGTTGGATCAAGTACACTGGGGGAGGGGGCCATGGGCCGGATTGGCCCGTGGACTGACCCTGTGCCACAGGTCTGATAAGGTCTAAGGCAGCGTGGGGGAATGGATGGCAGGGCTCCACAGGCCAGATCTGGCATGTGGCCCATATTTTTGATACCTTTGATATCAACTTTTCCAATGAGGCATCCTATTTGAGGGCTGTACTTAATTCTCCAAGTCCAAAAAGCATTTATAATGATTTGGTGGTTCAGCCTCCCCCCACCCATATCAGAAAATTATTTTAGATGATTTCTAGAATTAATGCTATACAGAAGAAGACTTAGCTGAAGTATGTCATGGTATGACTGTAACCAGAGGGAGAGATAATGTTTAGTCAGATAGAGAAGTATTGAAAATTAGTGCCAAGGTCAAAAATAGAAAAAACCACAGCATTGAAAAGCTCTGTTGCTGTGTACTGTGGTAACTTTTCTTCGAAATTTCCACAAAGAACAGGAAATAGAGGCAACAAGCCCAACCATGTGGGTGGGACACAGACCTGCTAATAAAGTAGCTGAACCAAAAGTTTACTCGCAAACATTGCAGTTTATGATGGTAGACGCGTGTAGTACTTTTCAGCCTTTCGGCTCAGATCAAGTGTAGTTCCAAGAGATCAGAACTTGTGTGCAGTAAATAAGGTAGGTTTTCTTGAAAGGGATTGCGTCTAGAATTAAAAACACCAGCTTTCTTCATTTTATAGAAAGTTGTATTCATCTGTTGTGGCCTAGGATAGGTTGAGGGTTTTAAAACGTAGTAGCTACAAATTATTTGACATAGAGCATGAAATTGTACCCTCTTCCCCTTTCAGTATAAATTTGAGCACACTAACATGAGACTGCCTCTAAATCTGGAGCTGAAGGTGTTTATTAACAAATCGTATACTAATATGAAGCATTACATTCCTCTAATGCAAAACTATGAACAAATAACCTGCATTTATAATAAAGACTGTAAGGTCTTTATTTTTGCTGATTTCTATCTATTTATCTTGTATTGCATCATGATTTAGTTCATTAGTATTGGGAGCAAAAATATTGTCATTTTGTTTTGTTTTACAGTACTTTTGAGATCAGGATGACTTAGTATTTACTTTATGTATTTGATAGTCGTTGCTTGGCTTAAATACATTGAAAGCTGCTTTTGGAAATTAACTCATTGACTCATGATTCCTGTAGCTTCTATTTATTCTGTTCCTTAAAATTATTTTTGCATGTCACTAGCCAGCTCGATACTTTTCTATCCTGAATTAAACAACCCCAGTTATACCACAGTTTACCTCTGCACATCTGCCATTTAGTGTTCTGCAGGCAAAGGCCATAGTTTGATGCAACTGTAAGCTTAACGTCAGCAGGATCTGGCTAATGATAACCATTGCTAGAGAAAAGGAATAATGTGCTTATACATCAGTGCAGACATGAGATGTTTCCTTTCCTTCTGCTCACTCACACTTTCTCTTACTCTCTCTCTTTAATAGTTAATGCAGCAGTATGTTCAGACTGAGCTATCACTGTGAAAAAAGTTGTGTCCAGCTTTAATTGGATCATTCACAATTTAGCTACTATACATATCTGTAACATTCTGTAACTCATCAAAAAAAGTTGTTTTAATCCATGTGCTGTAAAAAACAAACTAACTAATAACTTTGGCAGAAGAAAATAATAAGCGATAGCCAAAATGTAGGGTCAGTGCATATCACCATACAGGGAATAAACCATTTCTGGCTGACATTTTGTGCATCTTAGAGCTTGGGTTTTTTCAAGCTTCTTCTGCATGGCTTGATAAGGCACAAAACTGAAATAAATTGTAAGAGTAAATAAATAAGCATATAAAATATCCCGTTCCTGAATTTGGCTAATTATGATATTTTTTTTCTGGCTACCATTGTATTTTCTGTAACGTAGTCGCGTTTCCCTTCTCACCCCCATCCCTCTTATGTTAGTCCCTCTTTCGGGCGATCTGTATTTCCCTGCTGGCTTTGTCATCTTTTTGGATTCACAATCCTAAACATCTACTAATAAAATTCCTAAATAATAGGTTTCCTGGTAAATCCTAAGGTATTACACCATCCTGGATTTGGATGTGAGCAGAGATCTCTTTCAGGTGGTTAGAGAAATATTTTGGAGAATTGTCAATATGGGGGCTTTACCTAGATATATCGGTGAACAAATGTTATTTCTTCATTAATCACGTAACCAATGGAAACAGCAGTGTTAACCTTTGTTTTGGTAGTTGTTGAAGAAGTTAAAGACAAGTGATTGTAGAAAGTGAACTTAAATGAAGAAGTAAAATAAACAGGTCTGTAACTTCTGAATATTAAAGGGCTTAGTTAGTGAAATCACCTGGATAAAAGCTCAAGGATTTGAATGTGTGTGTTTGCGGGGGGGGGGGGGGGGGAAATTTTTTTTGACGCGGGGGTGGTGTGTGGGGGGGGGGGGGGGGGAGTAGAATTTCTTTAAGCGGGAGGTGTTGTAAAAACTAGTTTTCATCCCAAGTAAAAGGGAAAAATGTGCAGAGAGGGACTCCAGACCTTACGGAGATGCCTTAAAAAGCATAGACAGAAAACCTATAAGGAATAGGGAAGAGGATTGAACAGCAAAGCTAGGTATGGTTGGGACATGAGGAAGTGCAGGGATGAAGTAAGAACTGGCCCAAGACAGGGCAAGCTAGACTTTGCAAAGGAAACTAAAATAGCAAAATGTTTTTTAACCACATACATAAAGAGAACAAGGAAGTAGGAAGTGGGGCTGCTCTGGAGAGGGCGGAGTCCTTGTTAAAGATAACCACTGTAAATATTTTGCCTCAGTGTTTTATAAGGAGGATTCTGGTATAATAGCAAATTGCCTGTCATGAAAGGGGGGGGGGGGA